CTATTAAAATTTAAATAAATAAAATACTATGTAATTCCGTCATTAAATAACAAATTAATAATTTTTATCAAAAATCAGTTATATTATATAAAAATTGTTATCGGTCACTCAAAAATGTCATAGTAATTAATTATGAATTAAAAATATCACAAGCAATAAAATTCAATTAGTTATAACTCATAGAAGTTATTATCAGATTTTTTTTCTTTTTGAAATGTCATACATGACGAAAATATTAGAAAAAAACAACTACTAGCAACTAATAATAACAGTTATTAAATTTTTTTCAAGTATTTCATCTGGACTTTACTAATTCTTACTATCTGTTATTATCACTTATAGTTAGCTATTCACCAAGATGATTTGGAAAGTAAAAAAAAATCTTAGTTTTAATTTTTTTTTTTTACGAATATAAATAGCAAATTCAGTATCATCGGATATTTATTTGAAAAGCGGTTACAATAAAATTATTATCATCGTATGATTGCTCTGTTGTTTCTTAAATCACAATATATAATACATTGGTATTAATCAATACATGCACATGATTAAATACATCACACATGTGGGTTCATTGACAATATATAAATTAATTACTGCAACGTTTAATAACAATATTTTTAAGACTAGAGATCACTGGATAAAGATAATACATGCCTTTGATGTGTACGCATAAGCAATAATGTTACATGATTTCAGTATATAGGAATATAAAAATCTACGTCTACATTAGTACTTACAGCAGTACTAATTATTATTGTTTTGTAAAAGTGTAAAAGTTTAAGAATTTCTATCACAAGGCGTATTATATACCTACGTTACAATTATTATATCATACATAATGTAAAGTCACTATGGATAAAAAAAACGTAATTTTCAGGGCACAGATACTCGTTATATTTATACTTTTTCTATTTTTCCCGTATCAATTTAAACTTCTCAAGTTTTCTTTGAGGTATACTATGCTAAAAATAATCACTATCATGCATTTATTCTCATTTTTTTTTTTAATACTTAATATCAATATAACAAAGTAAGCGTGTTTTACCATAGTTTTCAAGGTCGTCGAATTTTTTCAAATGCCAGTTGATACGCATTCCGAATATTTTAGATAGGAATACACTTACATACGATTTTTAATAAGCTAATAAATCATATTTATAAAAAGCGGACGCAACGCTATTATTTCAAGCTGAAAAGAAAACTATTCGAACTTCCGTTATACAGTCAATTTCCTATCCTTTTAATAATATTACATCTGGAAAAAGGCTACTCATAGTGTAAAAGTTATGCATTAAAGGTAAAAACACATTTGCCGCACTTTTTCTACCTCAACTCTGGCAAAAAGTAAAAATCAATCAAACAACGACGCAGTGGAGCCTATAAGACAAGCGTTTTGTTCTGAAATACTAAGGCTTATTTAATTTTCCCTCGTAAACCAAAAAAAAAAAAAAAACTATTCTACTTCCTCACAAATGGACGTTTCCGCTCGACGAGACGTTCAGTGAAGCTTCTTTCAGAGGTGTAAAGGCATCAATGGCACGTACTTGTCGCTTGGCTGGAACTTGTACTGGGAACATAGTTTCGACCACTCGGACTCGTTGTAGCCGTTTCTGAAAAATAAAAAAAATTTATGCCACTGCAACCATATCAATTCAAATTTTTATTTCATACGATTGCACTGGAACCATCACCATCAGAAGTTATAAGAAACGAGACATTTTAGTCCAGGTGGGATTCTACAGCTATATTTAACTCAAATGGTTATTCGCCTTGCCAAGTGTATGTACAACACTACTGCAGAGCTGTTAAAAATGGCACCAAAAGGTAACCCCGCACCCAAACTTGCAGAATTAAAATACGCCAAATTTTTGTGTTTTTGCTCCTACAAATTTTTCCACGCATAAGTTCGTCAGATTTTCACCCAAGTCTTGTGCAAAGTTTCGTACGAAGTTGGGGCAGACCTCAGATAATTAATATCAATTTTGATGATGTACGAAAAAGTAACGAGTGGCTCGTGCATCGTTTCTCAAAGAAACAAGAAACTTTGCACAAGACTTATATATGTATTTATTGCTTGACTAGTAAAAGCTGATTCACTTATCCAAGTTCACGATAAATCGATAAAATTATATAGAAACACGTAATGTTCTCTGAATTATAATAACAGCAACTTACATGATGAGTGAAAATATACAAAAATCATTTTATATGTACTGATTCACAAATATACATAGCCTTTTATGAACCATGACCTTTTTTTTTTTTTTCAATACTAATGTGTCTTTGACAGCTAAGGACGAGATATAACGCAATTCTAACGTTTTATCAGCGATTTCCCCGCCATCGGTATATTAGTCAAAGAGATAATTAAACATAATTATTATTGTTGTTTTAAAATAAATTTCAATGTAATATTCATCCTCCACATTTCTTAACAGTTACTATGTACATAAATAAATGGAAGTATGATATATAAATGGTTGTAAAAAATATAAAAGTTAAAAAATTATTTAAAAGCCATTGAACCTTTCTAATAGATTCATACAAGTGATACAAGGCATAATTTTTTTCGCATAATAATTAATTAAAGTGGCGCGATACTTCCTTTTACACTGAATGTTTAAACTGAAGATTTAAAGCTTTATTATTTAGATACAAACGAAAATTCAATGTTATAAAGCATCCGATTTCTTAAACTCGGTAACACATTTTTGCCTACATCCTTTGTAAGTTTAAATTTTTACTGGGTAAAAAAAATCATTTCAGTCTTGGGATCAAATATAAGCAACTAGATACAATAGATATTATTAGTTGGAAATTTTCTCATAATTGTCCAATACTAAGTATTGAAGTACTCACAGTTTTATTATACATCTTCCGAATAATTTTTTATAGAAGTTATTCATTTGACTAGCAATGTACCGACAGTACCTNATGTACAACACTACTGCAGAGCTGTTAAAAATGGCACCAAAAGGTAACCCCGCACCCAAACTTGCAGAATTAAAATACGCCAAATTTTTGTGTTTTTGCTCCTACAAATTTTTCCACGCATAAGTTCGTCAGATTTTCACCCAAGTCTTGTGCAAAGTTTCGTACGAAGTTGGGGCAGACCTCAGATAATTAATATCAATTTTGATGATGTACGAAAAAGTAACGAGTGGCTCGTGCATCGTTTCTCAAAGAAACAAGAAACTTTGCACAAGACTTATATATGTATTTATTGCTTGACTAGTAAAAGCTGATTCACTTATCCAAGTTCACGATAAATCGATAAAATTATATAGAAACACGTAATGTTCTCTGAATTATAATAACAGCAACTTACATGATGAGTGAAAATATACAAAAATCATTTTATATGTACTGATTCACAAATATACATAGCCTTTTATGAACCATGACCTTTTTTTTTTTTTTCAATACTAATGTGTCTTTGACAGCTAAGGACGAGATATAACGCAATTCTAACGTTTTATCAGCGATTTCCCCGCCATCGGTATATTAGTCAAAGAGATAATTAAAAAAAAAAAAAAAAAAAAAAAGGTGATACCAATCAACATCGATCATCAAAAAAAGTGCAAAAGTTAGTGGAACCAACAGTACAAAATAGCCAATCTCCCGCCACCAGAAAGCATTTTTTTTTTTATTGAATGGAATTTATGATTTACGAGACCCACGCATCAGTCAAAACCGCCGATAGAATCTCTGCTTCGACAACATATGCTTCAACCACGCGTCGAAAGATTGGAAAATTGTCTCGATCGTGATCGGCCTTTTCCTCGATACGGACCTCGACGACCAGTTTTGCGAGCTGATGTACTTCAAAGGTCGACTCCAGCCTAGATAACATCTGAACAATTTTTTTGTTTTTTAAACCTACATCACAGCATAGTGAACTCACTGTTATACGCCGATTCTTGGACATATTTTTAAAAAATAAATAAATCGGTATTCATCTTTGTTTGCTCCAAAATGACATTTACCGATTACGAGGCTAAAACCTTGATTGAAAAAAAAAAAAATAAATAAAATTAAATAAATAAATAAGAGGGGCCCACCTCTGCCACTGCGAACAGGGACGGCGTTCCTTGAAGCAGGTGACCTGTATGACGTTGAAAAACAGGGCGCCAAGGGTATTGGCGACTTCGGTATTGATCGACTGCAGACACCGGCGAAACTTGGCGTCGCAGTCGCAATGGGAGCGCGTAAACGGCGAGTAGTTGCAGATGCCGTGGATGCACTCCTGGGGCGATATCGTCTTCGGGCAATGGTCGTGCTCGCGACAGCAGGCGTCCTCCGAGGCGTGCTGCCCGAGATCGTCGTAGTTGGCTGCCACGTTGCCCGGACCACACCATTTCGTCCCCGGGTACATTATACCACCGCCCGGGGCTTGGTTCTGCAGTGTGAACGGGACAATTTTTTTTTTTTTTTTTTTTTTATTAGCTTTTTATGGTCAGGGGGTATTTTTTATTTATTTTTATTTAATTTCTTTATTTTCACACCGATTTTCTTTTGTTTTTTCGAAACAAAGAATTATTTTTTTGTTTTAAATAACAATAAATGGTAAAAAATCATTTTAAAATACGCTTCATATTATATAAAAATTGTTATCGGTCACTCAAAAATGTCATAGTAATTAATTATGAATTAAAAATATCACAAGCAATAAAATTCAATTAGTTATAACTCATAGAAGTTATTATCAGATTTTTTTTCTTTTTGAAATGTCATACATGACGAAAATATTAGAAAAAAACAACTACTAGCAACTAATAANCTGTTGTAATAAATAATTAATCATCACATAGGTAAATTAAAAACCATAGTGTTTGTATCTTTTTCTCAGGTAATTTAAATTTATCTGAAACGTTCCAAATTTTAATTAATTTACTTCGATTTTTATGAATTTGTTTCAGTCAACAAATATTTAACCATTAAAAACTTAAAATTAATACACTTAACAATTCACATCAGTAATGAACAATTGTTCTAGTTTTTTTCTAAAACACGAACTCGGTATAGCTGCAAAATAATTTTCATTTTGTGTTCTTCTTTAATTTAAAATTAACAGAAAAGTTATGAATAACGTAACATATTAAAAAAAAGCATTATTACAGTTTTGATGTCTGAAAATTAATTTTTAATATTTTTCTAATTATTAATATTAAAATCTTAGAAAGATCGGTCTATTAAAATTTAAATAACTTTCGGAACAATTCAGGGAATGGAGGAAATTTTAAAATATTGTTGAGCTGACTGAGATAAAAAAAAAAAAAAAAAAAAAAAATTGCTCACCAATTTTGAGACTAAACAAAATTAATCATCTCGTAAAAAGCAAGCGCCTACTCAAGCAACTTGACTACACTACCTACACGTATTTCCTAATAACTCTACCAAGTGCGAACAAAGGATTTACCTTGCCCTTTATCCGGGAAGCCTTGCAAGTCTCTTCGAGGTCGGCGACGAGATTGTTAGAGATTTGACGCACCTTGTTGGGATCGGATCCCAGCACCATACGCTGAATGGTACCACGATCGTGGTACAGCTCGCAAAACGGCGCCCCGGCGTTCAACTCGACCATGCGGGTCATAGCCATGTCCGCGACCAGGACGCTCGAGTCCACGAGCTCGAGGTGGTCCGTGGAAGCCAGCAACGCTGCCAACAGGAGGTACGGACGCATCTTCATTTCGAAAAACAAAATTTTTATTACTATTTACAATCATGATGATGATGAGTTTTGGTTTTGTCGTTCTGCATCTAATGTGTATATAGTTATCGATTCCTGTAAAAGTTAACAATTCCTTGATTTTGTTTGTTTTTTACATTTTATATAAAATCAAATTTCTTCATAATTTAATTTACGTTGTGTATAAATACTTTTTAATACACCAAGAAAACAAGTTAACGTATATCTGATTAAACATTTTATCTCATGGTATTGATAAATTCTTTTTTATAGTCCACAAAATGTTTATAAGCTCCACGACAGCTTTCGTCAAGAATTTGTTAACTTAAATCTCTGAATGGTACTGTAATATTACTGTGGCTCTCAACATATTGCCTCAAGATCCCTCGACCGATTTTAATAACCCTTGGTCCATTTTGTTTTTGATACCTAAGAACATCGTTTTTTCTGTATTACGGCATTCCGTATATTGTGACGTATACAGCCGAAGACGTGCACTCTAAGGCCGCGGTCACATGGAGAGCGTACCCGCGTAACCATTTGAGCCCATAAGAGTAAGAGAGAAGTAAAATACGCGAACCTCTCTCTCACTCTCATCGGCTCAAATGGTTACGCGGCACGCGTTACGCTCTCCATGTGACCGCGGCCTTACGCATAATACGTGCGAATGATAGTATCACTTTTAACCGCCAGGTGGCATCCTGTAAATTACTTCAATCCGCAAGTGAGAAAAGTAACGTCAGTTCATAAGTACGTGGTCTACCTCAAAACAATCAGTTAACACTCAGCAAGCCCTAATAGGTATAGTAATAACACAAAAGTGTATTTCATACCTAGGTATCACAACGGGACCACTGCTGGTTCCAGATTTCACCCTATGAAGTCTCGATTCAGGGGGCAATCTCTCTCGGGATCAGGTGGATAAGATTCTATCAGATCTGATCGAGAGAGGCCAACATCTGAACTTGCTCATTCGGTGAAATCGAAAGTAAAATAAAAAATAATTATCCCTCTGAGCATAAGTAATATGTGGTATATTGAATTATGGATACTGACGCACCCACGTACGATAAATCTATGTTGGTTTTACATTGCAATAGTGATACTCCTAGACATAAATTTCGCAGGTGGAAAAATGTACAAGGACTCGTAACTTGATGGGACTGAAAAACTATTCTAAACACTGAACTGAACTCAGTTGTTATCAAATATTAATACAAAAAAGCGGAGGTACATTATAATTCACCGATAAGGTTTACCATTCGTTATTACTGTCCCTTAAACAACTGTAATCGACTGTAAATCAACACTTGATGACATTTAATTCATACACTCGTATTTTACTACAATATAATAAGTAGTGTAAATACTATGCTATTACTGTACTACTGTAAATTAATATTGTCAACTACCATCAACTGTCTCGATTTGTGCCAAACACACGCTAACGAAAACGAATTCTCTTACACTTCTGTTATCTAGGAGGAGTGACTAAATTGTTTTCTAAAATTCAAGTGATAAAAGTAATTAAAAAAGGATGGGGGTGTTAGTATCTAATAATACATATATAATTATGCAACTATAGTGGTTACGGTAGATTAAAAAACTGTTTGTGATAACAGATAAACGGATAAAACAAGTTATTTGACTGGTTTGTTTAAACATTTATTTGGAAAAATGAGTGATCCTTACATCTTTGTCTTGACAGAATAGAAACCTGTAATAAACTTTTTTTTTTAACTACATAATAATGAATTTTACTATCATAATAGAGTGGGATAAACTTAATAACTAATATTATACACTAAAGTAGTGAACTCACTGTTATACGCCGATTCTTGGACATATTTTTAAAAAATAAATAAATCGGTATTCATCTTTGTTTGCTCCAAAATGACATTTACCGTGCGAATAAATTAATAGGAATTTTTACCCCTTTAGTTATTATTTGATATCTATTTTAATATCGATCATCAAATGATATATAAATTGAATAAAACAATAACTTTAAAAAATATAAAATGTATCGCAGTATCATAAAATATGTAACATCCATGAAAATGTAAATATAATTTAATAAAATAGAAAAAATTCCGTTTTTTTATTCACTGCATTATCTTTCGTCATTATTTCGTCAATTTATTTAAATTGCTTATGACGTGACTCAGCCGTAACTTCAAACGGGCGATTCATGTGCTCGTAGGATCAATTGATACAAGCACGAGATTTTATTGATCCGTAAGAATGTAAATTGCTCGTCTTCTCTATCATTCTATTGTACGATGGAGTACAATAAAGATCATAAGGGATTTGCATTCGTTGGGATCGATAAAATCTCTAGATAGAAATAATATGTATACCGTTGCAACAACAACGTATGAGCAACAATGGAAAATCATTTACTTTTACATAACAGCCGATTGGTGTACTCTCTTGTGAAGCGAATAAAAAAAATTTGCTCAAGGAAAAATAATCGATGGTTGATTTTTTTATGTAAAATCCACACTCGCACGGAAATGTATGCGAAGGATCTTTTTTAAGCCAAGTGCCAAAAATTAAAATTTTTAAACGCAGTCGGCTGCAACTACGCGTTGAAATAGAATACGCTTTAATAGCTCATCAAATTTTATATACGCATACGAGTATTATAGTCTTGATTAACGAAAATTAGTCTATAAAATCGTGTAGCCCGTCCAAGCTATATTTCAATTAAATCGCTGTCTCCTCCATTGTACCCCCGAATCACTTCGTTAAACGCATAAATGTCGCTGGTCAATTTTAAAAAATTTTCCTGGTACTGTTTTGGAACTTGGAAAAAACAAAAAAAAAATAAAGTTAGGACAGGAAAAATTCCAAACCCGATCATAAAGATAGAGGAATGTAACGGCGCAGTAGAGTAAAAAACTCCCACTCGCTTCTACCATCATTTGTTTTCGAGCAACGGCCGAAAAAGAAGTAAATAAATAAAGAAGGAGACAAAAAACACGTGTGTTTGACGTAAAACGTATGCTGCTTTGTTGGATGTTTTACATATAATATGCATGGACAGTTTGGCTTCTGCCGACTCGGGCGTGTGTATACGTTACGAACAAATGCGTTGGTACGAATCTCCCTAGGATGATAGGGTCTGATAAGTGCATTGCAGCGACGTGAAGGTGAACTGCTCGTCCGTGACTGCAATGCGCGCTCGTTTTGATGGGACTTTGCGTGTATCGTCGACGCGAGAATAGTTTCGATTTTTTGCGTTCGTCTTTGTTCTTCGATGAGCGGTCAATGATCCCGATGTAGTTTATTTCGATGACATTTTTTTTGGACGTGTTTTACGTAAGTGGGAATAGAATTTTGGATAGTCAAAAGTTACGAGCAAAACAATTCTTGACAAAAAAAATTTGCTGATTCTCATTTACTTGAATGTTTTTTCATTTGAAAAAGTTGCACTTAACTTAACTTTTTTTTATAAATCATTTTTTTTTTTTCAATCGTGTGAAATATTTTTTTCCACTCAATTTGATTTCTTTTCAATCTTTAAAATATTAAATTAATTAGAAGAATACGTCATTA